AACTAGCCAAACTACATTCTCAAACAACATTTTTGGCTAAACAGACGCTCTAAAACCAGCCACGGAGAAAAAAAGTAGTCACCAAGCCAAGCATTTTCAGCAATAAAATAAATATTCAGCGCAATTAAAATGTAGACGTGAAATCAAACGTACAATCCGCGCGGTGGTCTCATTCTACGCACTTTTACACCAGTCATCACTGCGTGAAGTTCCTTCGGTTCATCCTGTCTTTCAAGTTTTTGTTGCTTTCGTGTGAAGCAGATAGCAAGCTCATTCTCTTTTATTACCAAATGTCTCTGTTCCTGTAGGGATCTGTACGATGTCTTTCCTTCGAATGAATCAACCGCATGCCGAATTCTTTTTAACATATTTAATTTACTATGTTTTATTTCAGAGAGACTAGAAGATGGTTGCTACTTTTGGGATCCCTTATGACGCCAAAGCAGATCCTCTTCAAGAGATGCGAGCATTCAAAGCTGCAATGGCAGACGCCAAGTCCAATCCGGACTGGCGTACAGCTCGTCAAATCGAGCGCCATCGCTGGAATCCGTACTCGTTCGAAGGAGGGTGAGTTTCCTTTTCCCTATACTACAAGGAATTGCTGAGAATAGGATATCTCAGCGGTGAGAGCGCAAGTTGTTTGCTGATGTGTGGCAAACAAATATGGTATCTAAACTGACGTAAACTACTGGGCAGACGGTTTATGAGCAGTCTGAGATTGTTACAAATATTTACGGTCAAAGTCTCGACACTTCATTAGAAGCTTTCTGGGCTATGCCGCTTTCCATCGTCCCGGAAGGTTTTCCATATATCAAAGGCGGCAAAGGCACTTCAAAAATGATGATCTGTGCGCTCAACTTCTAACAGCAATGTGGTAAGCAATACGAAAAGAAAAAGCTCCAAAAAGGTGCTCAAAATGTATGTAGCGCAAAGCGAAACCGCGCTTGTACGTACATGAATGGAAGAAAGGGTGCCGGACGAGTTCACACTTGCCAGCTCTTGCTCCTTATCATCTCGCAATTCCAAATGGGGGGGGGGGGGAGAGTTAGGAAGGAACAACCGCACCATCAGGTGGCCCTTGAAAATTATAAGTTGGGCGTTGCCGTTACCGCTGGCGGAAGACAAGGTTCCTATGAGCGGGTGGCTCCTTACTTAAGTGTCGTTGAGCTGCGAATCCACTACACTTTTGTCTTCAATGGAATCTCGAGACCATGGCAGTCTAGGAAGGAATCTAAATGTAATTAAGGCATGGCAGCCGAGGTTCGAATTGTGTGAGGATAGAGAAAGTAAACCAATTGTTCTGGCAAATAGAATATTCGAGGACATTTTGGAGGCGATGACTGAGATTCTCACATACTCTGTTGTTGTTCTCAAGGGGCGCATATACCATAGTTAAAAGGTAGGCAGCTCCAAGTGCTGGAAAGCAGTGTCTCGGCTTACTAGGGAAGGTCGTCAGGTCGAAGTGGCCATTTGTGATGAGATGTAGATCACTAGACGTGGTTTTGGACGCTGATCTTGAGTCTGCCTTTCAAAATTTGCAAAGCGATTCTCTGAACGGAGTTATTGGAGCCGGTTTACAACCGCAACAGTCTGGATTCGATCCGCTGCTGAGCTTACCCACCTTTCTTGCATTGTTGCTGACAAACATGCAGAAAGTGATTTCGCGGTCAACTATTACCTTCAAGTTTCTCACCTGAGCTTGTCTGAAGAAAAGTTTGCCTCCATTATTACTGCGCGCTGGACTACTTGTAGAAGCACTGTAGTGCACTGTAGTCTACAAGGAGTCCAAGCGCAGTAATAAATGGAGGCAAACTTTTCTTCAGACAAGCTCAGGTGAGAACTGAAGTAGTAGTGACGGCAATCACTTTTTGCCACGTTTGCGCAACAAGCAAAAAAGTTAAGCTCAGCAGGGATCCGATCCCATGACCTGTTGCGTGGTAAACGCGGCTCCATAACTCCGTTCAGAGAATCGCTTTGCAAATTTTGAAGGCAGATTCAAGATCAGCGTCCAAAACCACGTCTAGTGATCTACATCTCATCACAAATGGCCACTTCGACCTGACGACCTTCCCTAGTTAGCAAAGAAATTGCCATACGGAAATGTACTGATGAGTTTGTTGGATTCTGTTCATGAGGGGAGCGGAGTCGAAATGGTCGTTGCTGAGAACACACGAAACAAGCAAAGGTTTGGGATACGCTTCCCCATACCTTACAATTCTCCTGCCCATGTACAAATAGACTTAAGCAAATGTGCCTGCGGAAGGCCATCAGGCATCTCTGACATTCCTTGAGCTTAGAGCCACCCGTGATGTTGAGGCGTCTTTTTTGGAAATGAAAGTCCTGTCTGCCAGCACGGAGGATGTACTGCTTTCGTAGAGCATAAACACGTGAGGAAAGCACCGCCAGTGGCGACGGAGCCACGGCTTCGCACACTGGCCACGGCTACGCCCTTCTTTCATTACTATAGGCTTGCTGGTGGTGCGGTTATTCCGCTAATCACTCTCTATTTCGAAGAGGGGTTTGATCAAGAGAAATAGCGGGCACCAACAAGCACAAAGTTCGTCCTATTTCTACGCCCTTATGCATTACACAACGCAGTTTCAAGTATGTTGGTTGTACAGGAAGAGCGGGTTTTCGTGCTTTTTTTTCGTTGCCAAAACTTCTGTGGTATTTTAGCATCTGTTCACTAGTGTTTGAGCAAGCCACGAATCATTTCTGAGAGCTGGCCTTAAATCGAGGCGACAATCGCTGACTTATTTATTTACAAAGATGGAGATTTGAAGTCAGAAAATGTAATGCCATAAAAGCATCCTGGTGCGCTAGAGGCTGTGGCGGTAGTGCTTATGCTCCGCCACTGTCCAAAAAACGCTCATCATTGCTCCTTTTTTTATCAGCAACTTGTATTCTTTTCAGGTCTACGTGTGCTCTAGCTGGAGAGAATTTCGCCATAGTAGCAAGTGACACTCGTATGTCTCAGATGGAGGTCAACATCATTACGAGAGATGCCGAGAAAGTGCATGTTCTGTGAGTGTGTTTTGAAATAGGATTGGAAAAGGATGCTAAGGCTCAGATTGAAGGCGTTTTGTGTTACTTCATCATTGAAGCTGAAAATATCTGTTTCGATATCGCTGTTCGAATTTTTTCCACGAAAAAGAAAATCGAGTTTTGACGTCGATGTTGTGAAACAGTGACAACATGATGCTAGGATATCCAAAGCTTGCGTCTATCATGCATTTCTCCAATGGGGAGCAGTGGTATCTCGTGCCCGGCCCACAGTTTCAGTGGTTGTACCAGTTTCGCTAAGCAGGGCAAAAAGTCGGCAAGTAGCTTAAAAGAGACGGAACTGATAAATTGGGTTACTGGGTACGTAGGTGGGCTCTGGACTAGCGTTCTGGCGGCAGAGTAGGGCGAGCAAGTAAAATTGGCTGCTGTGGATGAGTTGTCCAGCGCAGATTACGACATGCGAAGGCCTAGTGTGGGTGACGATTACGGCCGCGGAGCACTATCTGATCACTGCGCTGTCATCCAGGGTACAGCATCGCGATGTGTAAAATGGTGGTGCCAGTACGTTCTCCCTCTCAGAGGGGTACGACCCCCCCACTAAATCAGGGTGTCGGTAACGACCCTCCCAAGCACCCAAACTACCAATTTCCCCAACATTTTGTTCAGTTTTCGCTCCCAGATAGGCACGAACGCGGCCGCCTCTCTGCCAACAACGACCAAATAGCGAACCCCCCCTCCCACTCCCCATCCGAAAAGTGCGACCCCCATTTTCTTCACACAGCGATGCTGTACCCTGCCGTCATCAGCCGAAGGAACACCACCCGTTGAAGTCGCCACACCGTCCTCCAAGCGAATCATGCTTCGATTGTTCATACGATATTGGGTCTTACTTTTGGAAATAAATGACGTTCTCGACAGGGAAGCTACTTGAAAATACGGCACAAGACTTGGTCTAGGTGGAATGGAATGAAACTTAGGCAACCTCGTGAACACCTAGAATTCCTGTAACCAAAGTGCATCATTCCACAGCTGCACAAGGGTTTCAAGAACTCACCTACGGGAGACCTGCTATTGAACATTGACTAACAACGGCAAACCAACGAAAGCGCAACATGCCCTCTACTAAGCAGAACCACACGTCAAAAATTACCAATAGCTTATCAAATCTCACATTTGACAAGGTTCTTCTCATAATAATTGGGGTTTGTTGTTGCCCTTTATTGTTCGCTATTGCACAGACGTTTTGTAGAAACGATTCTATAATCTTGGCAACATCGGGCTTTTACGGTGATGTCTTGCAGCTCAAAAGCGAGTAACTTCAGGTAACACATTTTCTTGATTGTTGTTTCAAATCTAACTTCATTTCTAAGCTCATTTCCTTCAGTCCCGTCTCCATAAATATCGTTTCGACTACCGTACTGATATGAGTGTGGATCTGATGGCAGGAGCTTCTAGCAAGAAATCTCTACTACAGGCGTTTCTTCCCTTACTATACGGGTGCCATTTTGGCTGGAATAGATGAGAACGGTAATTGGCGCTAGTAGTAGTATGTTCTTCTGTTTTGAAAATTGGTTCACTTTTTCAGGCAAAGGGGCGGTGTTCAGCTACGATCCTATCGGGTGCGTAGAACGCATTGCTTACTCGGCAAGTGGTGCAGCTGAACCAATGATGATAGATTCCTTTTTGGATTGCCAGGCTTGGATTTTCTGTCTTAATTTCGCTGGGTTACGCTAAATGACCCTATCCCTTCTTTACAACTCGCGGAGTTCTAGGCATAAGTCTGGTCGGTATGTAACATGGCTCCATTTTCACAATATAACATACACAACATGCACACAACATATACTCGATTTGCAGTTGTCTACTTTTTAGCAGTATAATATTTAGATCTTGCTGTTCATTATTCAACGCTGATATTTACAGATTGGGCATGTGACATTGAGTGACGAGGCCGAGCATCCGCCGCTTACGCTCCAGAGAGCAGTTTCACTCATGAAGGTCAGTTTGCCTTCCTTTACTTATTGTATGCAGTAGTTGAAGGCAGTTGGCACGATAATTTGGTACTCGCCCTAAAATGCTAGCAGGGCGCTATTGGGAAATGGCGAAAGAACGAAGTGCAACGGTCACGATCCTGCGAAGAAAAATCCCTTGTTCATAATGACTTAAAAATCAATTTCTGACGAGTTTCCCATAGGCATCTCACCAGTAACCGCTACCGAAGATACTATCGCATGTGTGTACTCATATACCCATGTAGCACCGCGGCGGCTTCATATCAATCCATTCGATTCATATTTAGCAAAATAACAATACGAGCGTCAAGAACAGAACAGTCGTCCATTTGTGGGCGGGTAGGTGTGGTGGGCGTTCGGGTCGGTATGTTGTAGCTTGATAGGGCCCTTGGAAGGAGCGCGCCTTCCTCAGTGGGCGCGGAATTCCGCCCTGCCAGCCGTATTGATCCTACTCGTCCTCAGGGATTGTATCATGCCAAACATGTCTTCAAGAGGTTTTATCCTATAGAGGAGAAGACACCGTTTTTGGACAAGGTGGTTCCTTTCCCAAGAATAGAGAACGTATCATCCATCATCATCATGTATCATCAACATGAAACATGTGAATAGCGACTCCACCGACCGCGTAAGTGACTATGTTTCGCCTACTGTCCGTGCCGTCAATCTAAAGCTGATGGTTTAGCCGCTTGCTAGTAGCTCCTTTCACTTCGTATGCTGAAAGCAAGGTGATAAAGGAAAACAGAGATGAGAACTCGCCTTTTCATACACGTACAAGCGCGGATCAGCATGGAGTAATATCTGGAGCTCTTCTGGTTGTTTTTTTTGTCCTTTCTTCTTCATTACTAAGTCAACTACCCAGTTGTCATCTCTATGCGAGGTCCACCGCTCACCATTTTAGTTCGCGGGGCATGTCTTTGAACAAGCCGTTTTTCATTTTTCATGTGCAGATATTTGAAGTTAAACATCCTAGCAACACCCTTCCGTATTCGCCTTGAAAAAATTCTCCTGCTTGTGATTCCAATCTCTGGGATTGGAGTGCATTAATTCGCAGAGTAGTAGAGAGTTTCTTGGCCGGTTGCATTCTTGTAATCGGAATGCCAGCAGGAAAGGTAGCTTTGGACATTACAAGGAGGGATACTGTTGCCATAAAAACAGCTTTAGAGAAAAAAAACTAGACGTTAGAGACGAGCATAAGCTCTTGTTGACGTGTTATCAAGTTGAACCCATATAAACAGAACACTTCTTGAGTAGAGTAACCTCCATTCCGCTCATCCACTCACATCTATAAAACCAAGCCGCTGCCGATCTCTCAACACGTGGAAGGAAATGCAGCCCATGGCACGGAAAAAGACCATCCAGCCGGTAATGAGTGACAAAAAGCCGTTTATGCCACGTGATCTACTTTGGTTTGCAATCCAAATCTTCAAAATCAGTGCGCGGGCATGTTAATTGTTGCGTGCGTTGGTGGAACCTGCGATGGTGAACAAACACAATGTAATAGCATCTTGTATTCTACTCAAATTTGTGTTCCGCGTGATCGACAAGGCGCAAGAGGTCCCGCTTTGCACCGTCCGTCTCGCCTGATAGTACACGTAGATCGGCTGGCCTGCGCAGTTATTGCATATGCCAGATCGCTTGCAATGAGTCTCCACAATTCTAACAAGGGAATGGTTTGAACTTCCCATGGAACTTTGAATGGAGACCTAGGTACATCGATAGAGCCTCGAATGCTGATTACGAATATGCAGATTAAAAGTGCTACGGGGACCTCCCAGACGAGATCTGGGTGGTCAAAGTTTGAGTTCTGGCTCGTAAGCGCTGCTGATCGATGCCTCGGCAGTGCCACCGTGGCCTCGTGGTAATGGTCTCGCTTTCAAGTCAAACGCATGCGGGTTTGCATCCGGTTGGCGCGAAAATTTTTGCTTCGCTCCGTATAAGAGCTTCAACTCTAATTTTCGAAATTCTTCCGAATTTACGGCCCAGCAGGGCAAGTAGATCAAGTACATCAAGTATACGACGTACTCGATCTAGTATGGATTTGGTCATATCTGCCCTCTGAACATATTACCCATCCGACAATTCAAAGTTTGCCCTCCGAAATCGCAATTTGGCCAGACGAGCGTTTTTTCGTCGAAGGATGTGATATTCGTGTTCAGGGGGTCGAAATCTCCCATGAACGAATTTCTCGCTAAAACTTTGAATTGTCGGATGGGTAATATGTTCAGAGAGGGCAGATATGACCAAATCCATACTAGATCGAGTATGTCGTATACTTGATGTACTTGATCTACTTGCCCTGCTGGGCCGTAAATTCGGAAGAATTTCGAAAATTAGAGTTGAAGCTCTTATACGGAGCGAAGCAAAAATTTTCGCGCCAACCGGATGCAAACCCGCATGCGTTTGACTTGAAAGCGAGACCATTACCACGAGGCCACGGTGGCACTGCCGAGGCATCGATCAGGCAGGCGTTTACCGAGCCAGAACGCCAAAATTTGAGTCCATCCAGATCTCGTACTGGGAGGTCCCGCGCGGCACTTTTAATGGCTGGCATAATTCGTAATCCAGCATTCGGGGCTGCTATCGATGAATCTAGGTCTCCATTCAAAGTTCCATGGGAAGTTCAAACCATTCCCTTGTAAGTGGAAGCAGAATGCGTACCGCATTCCAAAAGATGATAAATCAACAGCGAAGAGTTTATTTTTTCAGTTTATCTGCTTCTCATACTATTTCAGCTCTCCTAATTTTTGCATTTTCACTGAGATGGAGCCCTTTTTGACGACAGCGCACTTCGCCCTGAGGCGCTATAGGCTTCGAGGAGTTGATGCTGCTATCCCGTTAGAATGGAGTTGTAGAGGGAGAGAAAGAGAGAGATGCGTGAATTGGTAGAATCCGTCATCGTTGTGAACTGCACCTCTTAGGAGGCATGGAAAATAGAAGATCTTGTGCAGAGTTTGATCGAAGCGCTGCCAAAATGTTCTGGTCTTTTCAACAAAGAGTAGCATCTTCAATATAAACATATTTATTGAGCGAGCCAGGGTGCCTTTTTCCACCGATGATGCCATCATGAGCTCGCTACAGTTAGTGGGAAATCTGCCCTGGTTGTGCTCCAAACCACGCCACCGTCATACCCCCTGTCGGTGGCAGGAATCATGATTGCACGTCTCTGGAATTTGCAGAAATAGAAGCTGAACATGAACTGGGGCTAGGAATTCTGTATTCTGTTTTAAAAATAATTTTACAGCTTCAGTACCTTGTGAGCCGATAATATTATGCTAATATTCCCCTACCCCGCGCCTAATTGTCTTTGCCCGATGATGAATAGAGCTAATTTGGCTAAATAGGCTTTTCCTGTTAACCGCCTTGTAAGGATCTGTCGAGGTTGGAGCAACTGAAATAAACAAATGCATAAAAAATGAAGCGCTATAATGGTGAAGATTGCGCGTGAAAAAACGTTTTGGAAGTGTTAGCTCCGGCTGAGCACTGTAGGAGTTCCACAGTACTGGATCTCGTTTTAGGATGCTTTTCGATCAGCAGCCGAGCGGGAGATTTCTACTGGTGACAAGATACATCTCATTATTGCCGAAGCCGGGAAACCTATTCAACAGCAGTTTCTTCCTCTTCGTGAAGATTAAACTAATAATAAGACGTGTTTTTTGTCTTCGTTGCTTTGTCATGCCTTTTGATAAACATATTTATTCCGATGAGTTTTGAGTTTTTGTGATATCTACTTTCTTTAGTGAGTAGGTCCAACGAGTAAGTAGTGAGTTGTCAGTTGGAGAACACAGAAAAATCTTCCCGCTGGAGTTAAAGGCAGTTGGCATGATGATTTGGAATTCGCCTAAGAATGTAACTAGGGCGGTATATAGGGGGTAAATGGCGAAAGAACGGAATGAAACGGTCAAAATCCTGCGAAGAAAAAGCCTCCGTACTCAATGACTTAAAATCAATTTTGTGCCGGAATATTCCCGGTAGCCATCTTTGCCAATAATCGTTACCGAAGGTACGGCTACATAAATACGTGTATATCCATGCAGCATCACGGCTGCTTATGCCAATCCCTTCGCTTCATAATTTGCTTAGGAAATGAATCAATACGAGCGTCAGGAACGACCGTCCATTTGTGGGCGGGCATGCGTGGTAGGCGTTCGGGTTGAAATGTTGTGGCTTAATAGGGCCCCTATAAAGGCACTTTCACTGGAAGAGGCGCTAAAAACTACCCAAGGCTGGGGAAATGGAATACGATTCTGAGTGTTACGGTACGGAAGGGATAGGACCACGATATTATGAGAATGTAGCCTTGAAAAAAAATGCTTCCTGTCTTTCACATTAATCAGGCCCAATGCGGCTTTTCAGCTAAATAGTATTAGGTTGTCGCATAAGTTCTTATACACGTGTTTGATCCTCTCCTATTTCGTTCGCATGGATGTTGGTATTACGTCATCACGTGTGCGTGACGTGTACATTATACTCTTTCATTACACTAGCTATCACTCACCGAGCTTGCATTTGCAGTACACAATGTCGCACAATTTGCACTGTGACAAAACGTACCTGCGCCACTGTTTGGTTTTGCTCCACGATTTCGGCTGGAATGCAAAGGAAGCCCATACCAAGCTGGTGGATACATACGGTGAGGACGTCATCTCTTACATGACATGCAAGAATTGGTTCGCCAAATTCAAGAAAGGAGACTTTTCTCTCGAAGATGCTCCGAGGTCGGGT